TTCTCTATAAAACTGTTCCCAGTTAGAAATCATAATAATGATATTTATAATTTATAATTATTATAAAAACTTAATTTAAATACCTGGAAAATTGAATGCATTAAGTCCACCAATACATACATTTTTTTCAGCAAATAAAACTATTGCTCTTTCTAATAACTTAATATTTAATGGAAATGTAATACATTTCAGTGTTTCAAAATCACTCTTAACTTCATTGTCATAAGCATAATAATACAATTCTGAATCGGATGTTATGACAATTTGTTTTTCTATAGGTAACTGTTATACAGTTAGTAACATTTTCATACTTTAAACAAAAATATGTTATTGCATTTTGGTTGCCAAACTTGCTCCAAGTAATAGGTAATTCAACATTTTGATATTTAATAATTCATCAAAAGTATTTACCATTTTCTGAAAGTTAAATTTATTAATATAAAATATATTAAAACACTTATTATTTAGATTAATAAATTATTTAAAAAATGCATATGTAGGTACTTCATTTTCAATAATTGTTGATGAGTTTAATTGTCCATTTTCAAAATTATTTTGTGGCCATATTAGATCTCTCCGACATTTTACATTTGGACTAACTTCCACAGAAAAATTAGAAACAGATGGTAGTCGGTAGAGCATTAGGTCTTAATTTAGGCTTTTTACAATTTTGAAAATTCTAAATATAAGATTGTATAGTATGTATATTAATTAAAAAAAAAATATATAACCATATCAACATAATATATTTAAATATTGGTTTAGTTTCTTACCATTTAAACATCATTAAGTTATTCCAAATGCTATATGTACGAATTATATCGTCAGCTTTAAAATGTAACTCAGACAAACATGTAGGTTTATTTGTGATTTTGTTATTTATTTTATTAATATATTGCAACCAGTTTTCACGTTGCAAATCATTTTTAGGTATTTGAAATAAGGAATATTTAATTGTTTTGTCGCCCTTACGACTTATACAATTATTTATTATAAATAACAAAATAAATAAAAACAACATATAATATGCCTATAAAACTGTAGATGGTACTGAAAAAAAAGGCAAAATTGTGAAGAAATATATAATTAAAAATCACATGCAATTTAATAATTATATGGATAAACTAAAAGCTTTTATAAACCATAGAACTCTCAAAGATAAACACACTCACAGAAAAATGAATTTTATCCAATCAAATAAACATGTTGTTGATTCGAAAACAATGAACAAACTTGTTCTAAGTGCAAACGATGATAAACGTTATATAATGGATGACGGGATAAATACTTTACCTTATGGTCACTATAAACTTGATGGTTCAGTATAAAAAGCGTTATCTAGCGGAACAAAAATAAAATACAGCAGTATTATTACTTTCGTTGATTAATTTGCCACTAAATGACTCTTGCTTTTTATCGATTGTGGATGTATTTAGTGATCAAAACCAGGCTATTGAGGATCAGAAGATCATGTGATATAATTAATTCGACTTGATAAAAAAAACTTTTATTTTATTTTATTTTAAAAAGATATTATACATAAAAAAAAAAACATTATTTTAAAATATCTGATTATGTTATCCATGCATTTTGACTTGAATCAAAACCTAACCATTTAACAAGCATTTTATTCCCAACTTTTTTTACAATACGTTCAATAAGAAAGGTGTTTGGAAAATCAGTTATGTTAATTTCCTGTTCATAAAAACCACCTAAGATTATATTGTCTGATTCATCCTTTAGTTGATAAGTTACTGGATTTGTCTGTAAAACTTTTGAAACTGTAAATATTTCCGTTGTCCAATTTGGTGTATATCCTTTACTAAATATATGTTTATACTTAGATATTCTTACTTTGTCATTAACTTTAAATTTTGGATTATATAATGTATCATTTATTTGTGTATTAAATTTAATATTGTTTGTATCCATTCGAGCTTCATTCGGTATACATTTGATTGTTCTATGTTTTGTATTGTTATAGTTATGTATAATTTTTGATATTGTATTGTACCAATTCCAATTCCCCGTTGAGGTGAAGTGTTTATATATATTATTTTTAGTAACTTTTTATAGAATGAGATTGTATATCCATTAAATCAGCTTGCCAGAGATCGTCAATAAACCGTGTTACCACACTGCGTCTAGGAAATATTTTTCTCGCCGGTCGATGTAACTCATTAGCTATACTCTCTAGGGTCGTCATTAAACTATAATATTTCTATCACGTAGTTCTTCTAAAATAGATATAATTTCATTATTAACACCAGTATTACCAACACTTTGTGATGATGTCAAAAGATTTAATCTAGTTACTAGCTCATTCGGATCGTCATAATAAACTAATTGGGTTTGAGGTAAGACCATAGGCGTAATCTGGGGTAAAATCTTGGGGGGGGGGGCAGTTTATGGTACAACTAAAATTATATAAGGTAGGTTGGAAAATGGTGGCTTTTCTTCTCCCAATAAATAAATAAATAAATAAATCAGTAAGTATTATATTTATTAGTTACTAGTTAGTAATAAACAACGTTAAAATATTATAAATGAATAAACAACAATATAATTTAGTAATTTTATTTCAATACAAGCCGTCGACCACGAATTGGTGCACCTTCGTCAAATTCATTTATTACTTGATCAAAATCAACTTCTCTATCTCTTTCAATGTAGAGAGTAGCGATACTACTCAGTCTTGTTTGGCCCATAGTAAGCCGTAGATATGTTTTTAGTTTCTTCAACGAAGAGAAATTAATTCTACTTCGGTTAAACTGTATGTTGTACATACTTTTTTAATAACGTCATTCGATGGGTTTTCTTCACATAGTACATCATATAATGCTTGTAGGATATGAAGATCATTTTCAGAAAAACGATTTGATATATCGTTAGTTAATAAATCTAAAAGAGGGAAGAAAAAGTCAATTTTAAAATAGTGTTGAACATCTTGGTAAACTGCTTGTTTGGCACTTCCACCGTGTCTATTTGGAACTTTGGACATTCTAGGAATCTTAGGAGGATCTAATTTATTTTGATCACAAACAGTTTTTGAAAGTATCCATAATTCATTAAATGTTGAATCACACCTATAATCCTTTAAAGACTCAATTGTATGCATAGCCATATCTTTAACAGTTACATAGTTATTTTTTGGTGACTGTAAATATAAATTTAATACATTAGTCAAACCTAAAATTTCCCTAAGAACATGGAGACAAAATATAAACTCAAAGTTCTTGACTCATCGTGAAAGTGAAGCTGCATCAGAACCAGAATGTGTATCTATGCTTTCTATTTCCAAAAGAGTTTGAAATATAGTCTCCAGATTTTCAAGAACAGATTTTATAGCTTCAATCCTACAATTCCAACGAGTATCACTGAGTGATTTTAATGTTTTTTTTTATTTTTTTTAAATCTTCTTGCACTTTTTGATTGTCAATATTTGAATGATCTGGAATTGTTTTATTTTCTGCATTTGATTCTTGTACTTTTTTGAAAATAGCATATCTTTTTGAAGCTGAATTTATAAAATTATGAAGAGTTGATAAAGTTCCAAAAGTATTTCTTACCATTGGTACAGACTTAGCTAAATCAACTAAACATAGATTGAGTATATGTGTATAACAAAGCACATATAGTGCTAATGGATTTTCTTCTTTTCTTCTACTTTGCGCGCCACTGTAGGATCCTCTCATCGACGCAGCACCATCATAGCATTGACCTCTAACATTATTTAAATCTATTCCATAAGAATTGAATACATTTTTAATTAGATTAGTTAAAGCTAACCCATCAGTTGTATTTGTTTTAAAAAACCTAAAAATACTTCATGTGGGACAAAATGTTGATCAACGTATCGGATATAAATAGAAACTTGTTCACGATAACTCAAATCTTGAGTTTCATCCACCAAAATACTGTAAAAGCCATTACTTTGAATATCTTTTATGATGGATTTTTTAATGCTATCTGCCATATATTTTAAAAATAAATTTTGGTATTCAGGATTTGTATATGTAAATGACATTTCTTTTTCGATATAATATTTATGAATAATTGCATTATCGTGTGCTCTCAATTTTAAAAGTTCGAGAAAATTTCCACAATTTGTTGACATTTCTGTTTCATTGTGTCCTCTCATTGCTATACCTTGTCTTGCACAAAACAAAAGGGTTTTTAATAGACATATAATATATTCTCGGTTCTGAGTTACAGAATTCTTATGTGCTAAATTCAATTCAGAAATCACTGATCCATTATTTTTAAAAAACGTATTGTTCATGCTGCTGGCGTCAGCATTTCTGTCATTATATCTACAACAGCGACAGCGTACAGCACGCACAATGGGCAACTCTTTTATCCCCGCTCTTCCCGTCTCTTCCTATTCATTACATACTCGATCCACTCCATACAAAAACGTATTTATAATGTCTTTGCTCAATCAATGTAAACACCGCCATATTGTTTTATATTTTTCTAGCTCTCTAGTTTTTTGTACGTTGTGTCAACATAACCTACAGAAATCGTAATATTATAATACGTAGTACTGTGTGGTGTGTACTGGCGACGCTCGCTATTACAGCAGCTCCCGATCTTTTTTATTATTAATTGTGTACATATACGTTCTATCTTTTCTCATTGTTGTCATCAGTCAAATGACACAATAATCTTTGTAACCTTATCTGATTTCGCGGAGACTGAGTCTGCAGATCATTTACATAACGGATATCAATAAATCATAATATTTCGTTCAAAATCGGTGAGTACTCATTCATTTGGTTCCTTTTGTAATATCTACCTCTTTGTTAGAGAATCCGAACTGACTATCGCCAATAAGAATCGAACGGACGGTGATCATTACACTATCACCCGCGTTATTCTTGGCATCACTCGTCACTTGCGTAAGCCCGCCAGCAATCATTGTGTGTTGTGTGAGTGGCCGCCCAGGTCGTCCAGATGCAATACGCTGTGGATCGACCAATCTTATACCTCCACCTCAGTCATTGATGCGTGGACATTCTGGGGCATCAGTGGATATCGTGACAACTGCATATACTTCCGTAGCATAAGTTAGTTGTAAGATTATCTCCACTTATTGTGAGCTCTGTGGTCATTGCACCAGACCGATCCGAGCACAGAGAGACCCCCGCTTATACGTAAATTGCATAATCCTATTTCCCATTGTATAACCTGTATCCTTCACACCTTCGCGTTTCGGTGCGTTCTGGTTCCTTGTTGTCCATCGTCGCGTCATAGCCAGCCACCATCAATCCGTTTAGCTGTGTGTTGGATTACGTATATCTTGGAGTAGGCGTCGTCGTCTTGTCACCTCTAACAACGTTAATCGTACATGCAACTTTGGTTGCCTATCCTTGACGCCGTCAATCTGTTCGGTAGATACAATCGCTACAAATTTATTCTATCGAGCTGGTCCTTCAAATCATCAAAATACCCTACACGTATAACTTGACAATTTGCATGTAGACTCTTTGTGTGCATTACATTTTTGGTGTTGAGTAAATTTCTCTATACCTTTCTTCCAATTTTTAAAAGCAACATTAGTGAAAGTCTTTTCTGCATTTTTCGATGGAAATACTCTACAATTGAAACAAAAAGCTGCTTGTAAATGCCCACTGAACTCAATCCATGGGAATTGGCTATACCATTCAGTTCTAAATGATCTACCGACTACCATTTATCTTGATAAATTCAACATCTATTGGTTGGTAAGGACCATCATTTTCAATAAATAACGTAAATGCTGCTGATGTTTTACTAGCAGGATCACGCACTGGTATATTATTAGCCATACAATTACCATCTATTTAAAAGAAGAATAATAATATAAGATAATTCTCGTTTCTGAGGTTAGTAATGTATAATATTAATTGAATATTTATAATGTTAAAATTATTAAATTTAAAATAATAATAAATTATCAACAATCTACTTTCTATATATCCTTAAACCCTTAGTAATTAATTTACATGCAAAACTAATTAATATATTATTAACTGTTATATAAATATTTATATAATATACAATATACCTATATAATTAATTGTTTTTAATTTGTATTAACTTACTTTATTAACTTGATTTATTTGATCAATGATTAATGAATAATTATAATTAATTAACACATAAATCATAGACAACAATTAACACAATACACAAACATAGAGTTTTTGGGACTAACTAATAAACAAAAACATCAAATTATCTGAGATTATTAGTATTATTTTTAACTGTACCAAACATCCATAAAATTCATAAATATTTAAATGTTAAAATAATACACTTTTGAATAACATAAATTAATATCAAATATTACCAAGGTACCTACCTACCTAACTAACCTACCTTCTAAAATATTAATAATTCCTTGAGAATTTGATACTTCTGTCAATGTATTTTCCTGGCTTGTATGATCTAAAAACAAGATAATATAATATTAGGCATAATATTATTTAACTTATAATTTATATAATTTAATTATATTGAATACCTTCTAAAATATTATTTGTTTCTTGAGAAACTGATGTAGTGGCTATTGGTACACTTGTTTGACTTACCATTATTACCCGATACTTTTATAAAAAAGTCACCAATGGTTTTTCTTTTCATATTTGTAAAAATTAAAAACACAATAACAAATATGAAATAACAATTGTATACTTATTTCAATATTTGTATATCAATTATCAAATCAAACAACTAATTCGACACCATTAGAACAATTCTTCCAAAATCCTAAATAAAGCAATATAATGATAAGCACTGTCTGAAAAATGATAAGAGTGTTTTACGGCGGTTACCACTATTACTCTGTTTACTGTGGCAATGCGGCATAGACCTGAGGTTAGGTCTTTGCAATGTGGGCATAAGTAATTTACAATTTTTTTCTTACATTGGCGTCACTGCTGGATCACTAGTATGGTTTAAACATCCTTATCATTTTTAACTATTTTGGAAAATTTGGCCCCAAATAAAAATTTTAATAAACTTATGACGGGGGGGGGCAAAAAGACACTATTGCCCCCTCAATGAAATGTCTGGGGGGCAGTTGCCCACCCTTGCACCCCCAGATTACGCCTATGGGTAAGACATCTTTATATAAACCACTACCTGACTAAGACTCAGGTGGTGAAGTAAAATTAAACATATTTGTGGACATGCGATCTGTTGGTGAAAAACTGCTTGCTGATTGATTAAAATCAAATGGTTTAAATTTTTGTGTTATTTTTCTGCGCTTAGCGTTATATATACCAAAAGGAGTAGAAGGTAAAGTATTGTCAAATGATTTTAAGTTAATTCGAGGAGTTGTATTCTCATTAATTTTTCTTATTTTTTCGTTAAACTGTTTTTCCTCCATTTTCATTCGATCATACAGTGGTCTTACAACAGTCACCCATTTATGGTACCTCGAGGTTCTAGGTTTTCCATCTGCTTTTAAATGGACTCCAGTAGTTTTAAAAGTATTGTAATAAGATTCTATATCTGCAATAGTTGTATTTTTTGGCTCCTTCTCACATAATAAAGACCATAGTCCTGGTGTAAATTGATAGTATTTGTTAAGCAACAGTAACTTACCGTGACTAAAAGTTACAGAATGTTTTCCTATTTTATATGAATCAATAATTAATTTAGTGCGCATGTTACGGTTCTATAGCAATTGTGCGGGTGTATAATTTAAGTTAGCTACTTTTGTATTCCTGTAATTTAATAAGTAAAGTTATATCATGTCCCTGTTCCTTGCCTTTTTGTAACATTTTTTTCGCTATTCCAACATATTTTTCAGCCAGACAGTTACTTTTTGGGTAATGAGGACTCGAGGTTGTGATCTCAAAGTCCCATTCCTTTGCAAATTTGTAAAATTCTCTACTCCCAAAGGGCATATTATCAGCTATAATCTCTAAATGTATACCAAATTTACAAAACAGTGATTTTAATTTAGAAATTATTGTTGGTGCATCTTTATGGTTATTTTTTTTTATTTCAAACCAACAAGAATAATAATCTATTACTATCAAATATTATGTACCCTTATACTCCGCTATATCCTAAAATATATCCCAACTTTTATGAAAGGCACATTTGGTATTTTATGATTTAACAGATTTTGTTTTGATTGAGATCTCTTGAACTTATTACAGATTATACAATCTTCTGTTAAATTAATAATATCTGAATTAATCCCTGGCCAATAAAAAGTATTTTTAGCCAAACATTTTTGTTTTTCTGGACTTAAATATGTTTCATGTAACAGCTCCAGTACTGATTTTCTTAAACTCTTAGGTATTATTATTTTATTATTAAAATATACTAATTTATTATCTACTGTGATATCATTTCGTATGTTATAAAAATGCTTTATATCCTCAGTTAATTTTTTTTTTATATTTATTGGCCAACCTTCACTGTAGTATCTGACAACTTTATTCAATACTTCATCATCCTGAGTCTCTTTTTGATAAAATTTTAGTTTTTCATCAGACATAACTAGCTCAGGAGCTATGTTCACAGTGTGCATTACCTCATTCATATCAGTTTCATCAATATTGTGCCTTTGGATTATATTTCTGGATAATAGATCAGCAATGAAATATTTTGCTCCAGTGACATATTCTAATTTAAAAGTATATGGTAATAATTTTAATCTTAACCTCTTCAACCTGTTATTTTTAATTTTATCCATAGGTTTTTTTACTAATGAGACCAGTGGTAAATGATCATTGTTTATAATTATTTTTTGACCATACACATAGTTGTGAAATTTAGAAATAGCGAAAGTTATCGATAGAAGTTCCTTTTCTATTTGTGCATAATTAGTTTCTGTTTCCGTTAAGGACCTAGACGCATAAGCAACTGGCTTACAATCTTGTAGTAAGCAACAGCCCAATGCATCTTTGGAACTATCACATTGTTGTACTATTTACTTTTTAATGTCAAAGTTATTGAGCATTGACGACTCTGAGATTAAAGTTTTAATTTTGCCCATGTGCAAGTTTTACACATTGCCACAATATTTTATTTTTTAATAATTCCCTTAGTGGTGAACTCAGTTCCACTAAATTTGGAATGAATTGTCTGATATAATTTATTATACCTAATATGCTCTGTAACTGTTTCTTGTAATTTGGTATAGATAACTCTTTTATCGCAGTTATTCGATCATTATCAGTCCTCATATCATTTTTTGAAAATAATAAACCCAGATATTTAACCTCATTTTCATAAAATTGAAGTTTGTCAGGATTAAATTTAATATTAAATTGTCTTGCTCTGTTCATCACTTCTTTTACCGTTTCATCCATTTCTTTTTTGGTATTAGTTGCACACAAAATGTCATCAAAGTATACTATTACATTTTTTATATCCCCAAAATATTTATTTACTAATTTCTGAAATATCTCCGGGATTGCCGCTAATCCGAATGGCGCTCTTAGAAACTTAAAACAGACATAAGGACTGCTGAATGTACAATAGTTGCTAGACTTTTCATCCAATTTAATATGATAAAATTCATCTTTAATATCAAATACACAAAAAATATTTATATTGTTTAATTTAAGAGTTATTTCTTCTGATGTAGGTAGATTTTTCGCACTATGTGTTTGTTTAATTCATTTGGGTCTATACAGATTCTTAGGGTTTTATTAGGTTTTACAATTATAACTATGTTTTTAACCCATTCTAACAGGTTCAACCTGTTTTATTAGGTTTTATTAGGTTCGTTAACAGGTTGTATTATTTCTTTATCAGTCAATAATTTTAAAATGTCACCTAATTTTTTTTTTATAGTAACTGGTACCCTCCGAGGAGGGTTTAATATTGGTATGACACCTTCAGTTAATTTAATTTTCATTACATCCGGAAAAGTACCTATTCCTTCAAAAATGTCTTTATTCTCATTTATAAAATTGTCAAGTTCACTTGAACATTTCCTATTTACTTTATTTAAGTTTAATGTTATACAAGTGTTTAAACCTAATATTGGGACACAATTTATTTTATCTAATATGATGAATTTTACATCAGTCTTAATTTCTTTAGTTCTGCATTCTAAGGTAACAGTACCAACTGGATTTAGCTTATATCCACCATATGACTCTATTTTACTTTAGTTCTTTTTATTTCCTCTTTATTTTTAAGCTTTTTGTATATTTTTAACGGTAATATGTAAGTCTCTGCTCCAGAATCTAATTGAAAACTTATTTCAATACCATTAACAAGAATTTTTTGAAACCATTTTTTCTCTTTAATTTCATCATTTTTAATTTGATTGATTGCAATAGTATAATTTTCATCATTATCACTATCAGATTCATTTTTTACTGTATTAATTATATTTTGCTTGTAAGAAGACTTTTTACTTATTTTGTTATTAAACTTCTTTTTTACCTTATTAGTTTTTGGAGCAGAGCCTGCTTTAGTTTTACACATACTAGAAAAATGATTTGCTAATTTGCATTTATTACACATTTTACCGTAAGCTGGACATCTATTTATTGAGTGAGTTGTTCCACACCTGGTACAGTTGTTGATTGTCGTTTTTGTCCTTTTGATTTGATTCACTTCAGTTGTTTTCTCTAGTTCTTTGCAGTTCTTTTCTGAAGCTTTAACAGATTGACAAAACGCTATTACCTTGCCGATTGTCATATCTTCTCTTAATAACCGTTCCAATGTGTCACGACTTTGCATTCCCAACACTATTTGAGTTTTGAGTAATTTGGTTTCCATTGTACCAAAATTACAAGGTTTTACCAACTCTTGAAGATGGGTTGAATACACATCAAAGGGATCTTCATTTTGTTTGGCAGTAAAGAACTTGTAGTGGGCCATTATTTCATTTACTCTTGGTGAACAGTATTTTTCTAATTTCTCCAATATTCCGGATACATCAGTATCTTTTTCTTTGTCAATAATTAAGGTATTATTTACCTTTAATGCATCCGCTCTCATGAGATTCAGTAAAAGGGCTACTTGAACTCCTTTTGATTTGGTATCAGTTTCCGTAGCAGTTATATAAATCTCAATTTGTTGCTTTAAGAACTTGAAGTTCTGCGGTAAGTTTCCAGTCATTTTTAAAGGTGCTGGTTTATTGAATTCCATTTTATTTTGTTTTGTGAATTATTAGAAACACGTTTTATTAGGTGAACCACAAAAAAAAATTGTACCTACTCTGCTTCTTTTTATCACGTAGTATTCTTTAGTTACGACTGCGCAATGTTTTATTTAATTTCTTAAGTCTCTGTATTTTGAATAATCATGTTTTATTTTATTAATTAATAAAGAGCTCACCTCACACGAGGCTTGTGTGAGAACATGTATTACTGTTGTGTTATCATGACAGTGACAGTGTTACGTACAGTCCTTCAGGAATCCAAAAGCTGATACAATTTTATAATAAACAATAGCCAATTTATAATATAAATCAATTGTAGTTTTATTAAAACCAATAATAATTAATATAGTCGTGGTGAATTGTAGTGTCGTGAGTTGACTCTGGTACATCTAATGTGTATTGGGGCCCTGGCCTCTATATATACGGAAGCGACGTCCTTTGAATTGAGCGGCACGTGGCATGTAGGCGCCCTTGGAAAGTTGTAGTAGTTTGGAGCGTCCATTCTAGCTATGACCACTTTTGGGTGCGGTCGACGAGGCCGCCTTTCACATAAGTGGTTCTTGTTATTATGAGCGTTTACATGAATTGCGTAATCCCATTACAACAGTGATACCACACAGGATTTATCATAACGTGTTGATTTAGGACGGTTATTTAAAACATTTTCATATGATGAATTTAATTCATCATCATTATCTTCTTCACTAATGCACGAGGTCTCTGATTTATTTTCTAGTTCAGTTGACCGTGTATTACATATTGCATTTTGTTTTACATGTGTACTCAATGGTTCAATTATCGGCTTAAATGCTTCACGGAAATAGTTTTCAGAATCTATAACACCACGTTTCATTTCCATTATTTTTCGTTGTATATTTTTTTTTGATGTTATTAAATTTTCCAACAAGACTTTTTCTTTGTTCATTGTAAATAATAAATGTAATATACCTGTATCGTATGATTACTGATAACACTATGCAGATAATTCCTGTGTGACGGTATTTTTATGCATAGGTATAAGCACATACAATTATTTGATTTAATGAATGTATGAAAACCACATCTTTACCTTTCTTCATTCATTTCTCTAGTTTTATCGATAACCATAAACCCATAATCACTATGGTTCCTACATAAATGAGAAATTTTCCGAAATTCTGAGAAATCCATATCTGTAGACGAATGATCGTTGAATATATGTTGTAAATTTGTATCATCTTGTTTAAGTATTTTTAAAATTTTTGCGTTATCTCTTACTAGCTGTTTTGATATTTTAGAATATGTCCGTGCTAAATGAAATACGGAGCTAGCACATGAATGTCTACCAATGCTAAAGTATTCTCTGATTACAGATTGTGGACCGCATATCACATCATCAAAAATTATAATATAATTTGCACCAAGACAGTCAGGAGGTGTAATTCCATTAATACCTATATTTGCGGGATTGTAAGCACTTGGTAGTTTGATGTCTGGAGGTGCTAGTGTGTATAATTCAGTTCAAAATACAAAAAGAAAAAAAGGTAATTATAATATTAATATTAATAATAATGATACCGATCATATGTGGTGCTATATTAAACTGGAAGAGGGGTGTTATGAAATTAAAGATATTAAGCATCGAGTTATGGAACAAATAGATATTTACAACAAGCAATTCAAAACCAAGTTAACATTTTACATTTCGGTTGATTCTAACGACTTCAGATCATATATAAAATGCAATGGAATACTACACTTTGATGTTTTACATAGCATAGCATCTGTTTTTGGATTTGAAAAGAAAACCTATGAGCCAATGTATAAAGCTCATCGGTCGGGAAAAGCTGCTAATTTAAACACAATTAACTCTATAAAAGTAATGTGTAATATAGCACATGGGTCATTCAACAACCGACTTCAAAGTCATTCAATATATGAATTTTTCCCTATTGGGAGAATTGGATCGAAGTAGATCAGTCAATACCAAATTTGATATATTACAGGTTAAACAAAACAGACATTAATTCGATAACTGTACAGTTAGTTGATCAAAACAATAATCCCATCGATAACATTAATGAGACATTGACTGTTGTTCTGCATATTAAACGTCATGAGTCACATTATTAAATTTATATTTCAGATATCAGGATGTACGAGTCTGTTACTTTAAGTTTAACTAGGAACACAAACATATTGTCCGCAAATTATTTTCCGTCTATAAACCTTTACGAAGCCTCAGAAATAGCTTTGTTATGTTTGCAGACATTTAATTCATTCCCGAATATCAACAAAGATAATAATAAATTTGCTATACAAGTAGTTGACCATAATAATAATAATACTGATCGTATATGGTGTTTTATCAAACTGGAAGAGGGATGTTATGAAATCAAAGATATCAAGCATCGAGTTAAGGAACAAATAAATATTTTTAATGAAAAATTCAAAACCCAGTTAACATTTGACATTTCGGTTGATTCTAACGATTTTAGATCATATATAAAATGTAATGGAATACTACACTTTGAGGTTTTACATAGCATAGCACCTGTATTGGGTTTTGAAAAACGAGAATATAAACCAGAGTATGAAACTCATAGATCAGAAAAAAGCTGTGACGCGGACACGATGATTGCTTCAAGGTTGATCGTGGTCCGGTCGAAGTGTTTGGTTAGGATTGAGATGATGAAAAAAACACAACACAAACACTTTAAGAATGTCACAAATTATGTATTATAATATTGCGACCAAAATATAATAATACATGACGTGCCGCTCGGGCAGATGAGTTTAACGTCGGACGATATGTTATCGGTCCGACGGTCCGATGGTGGATCTCGAATCGACTTTTCCGCCGACCGTTGTACTTCTTACGCGACACAGTCCCCCCGTCCCGCCTTGCCGTTACCGGCTCGATGGGAGAGTCAACCCGGTCGCGCTGCTTGCATCCACGATTTAAGATATACAGGTTGCACAACGAAGACAAATATTGTGACTTAAGAACTGATACTTCAAAAAAATTAACTCTCAACGCTCCATGCGGGGAAAATCGTATTTCAGTGTCGCCACATGTAGGGAAAATTGTTATTATTATCTAAGGAAATTAGTTTTATTTTAATTGTACCTTTTAAAATTAAGTACAACAAAATGACATAATATGAATAAAACAGAAAATAAAAAATCAGAAGCTAAATCAAATGACAAAAAAAAAAGAGGCAAAATTTCATAATAGATAAGAATATAAGATCTTTAATCGTAGTCGTTTTGCTTATTTCGACACCGGGAGCGCTAATGCTCTATTCTTGACAGCTGTTTTATAGTGTCATTTTTAAAGTCACTGCAGGACGCTATTAAACATAGGTCGTTGTGCAACCTGTATATCTTAAATCGTGCTTGCATCCCGTGGTGGTGGTTGGAGATAAGATAGACTGGTCGCTATAGTGCTTGTACATTGTACTTGCTACTAACGCGGGCCGCGTTAGCTGTGAATTTAAACACAATTAATTCTATAAAAATAATGTGCAGTATAGCTCAAGGATCATTCAACAACCATCCCCAAAGTCATTCGATTTATGAGTTTTTCCCTAGTGTACCGTCAGGATCGAAAGTAGTGCAGTCACCACCAAATTTAATATATTACAAATTGATTAAAACAAATATTATTTCGATAACCGTTCAGTTAGTTGATCGAGTTCATAATCCGATTAACAATTTTGGTGAGACATTGACAATTGTGTTACATATTAAACGTTACGAGTCTTGAGATGGGGTTAAAATTCAATTTAAACCCGCTATTTCGGATCAGTCCAACTAGTCATAAGACTAAAGTGCTACAAATAACATCAAATAAAATAAAAAAATTTACGGTAAAAAATAAAAATATTTTACAAGCTCTATGTTATCAATTAAAACAGAATGCCTGAGAGTGATATTTTAGATATAACTTCACAGTACGAAACGGATTCTAAAATTACGAAAATTGAATATCATTCATACACACCGTATACAACATAATTTAATAATAATGATGAAATACGTATATCAATCCAGCAAACGGATGTCTATCTATATCTACACGAAAGCTTTATTTTTTTGGAAGGAACAATTACTGATGCTACCAAAGTGAAACTATCTAATAACGGTTACTTTTACCTCTTGAAACAAATACTATTGGAAATCAATGGGATAGAAGTAGATAGCACACGTGTTCTTGGAATCACTAACTCGTTGAAAGGATACTTATCCGGTACCCCAGACAACTACAATTGTTATGAAAATGCTGGCTGGAATTTTAAAAACGTAACGCAATCGGAAAATGACAAAGGTGAATTTAGTGCTTGCATTCCATTGAAATATTGGTTAGGTTTGTTTGAAGACTATAAAAGAATATTAGTGAATTCTAGATTGGAATTTATATTAACTCGAAGTCATAGCGATTTAAATGCTTTAAGTTGTAAAACTGGTGTAACTGCTACTGAAGGTAAAGTCGTTTTAAACAAAATAGTCTGGAAGGTCCCACATATCACTGTTGACGATGAAGAAAGGTTAAAATTAATGAAACTTATAGAAAAAGAAAAAAGTCTCTTTATCCATTTTAGATCTTTTGAAACTTTTGAATATCCTGAACTCGGAACCACTAAAAAAGTTGTATGGAATTTGAAAACTGCTTCAAAATTAGAAAAACCACGATTTATCATCATTGGATTACAAAATGGACGCAAAAATGTGTTAACGAAAGATTGTAGTATATTCGATCATTGTAATCTGACAAACGTCAAAGTATTTCTGAACTCGATAGCTTATCCATACGATAATTTGAATTTAGATTTTTTGAAAAATAATTTCTCCTTATTGTATAATATGTATACATCGTTTCAAGAATCGTACTATGAAAAAAGTATTCGTAACCCGATATTGAGCCCTTCTACTTTTCTATCAAACGCGTCAATTATAGTTATCGATACCTTCAAAACAGAACGATTCAGAAAAAGCCTCAGCAGTT